TTTTTTGTTTTTTCAGTCTCTTTTTCCGCTTGTTTCTTGACCTTTATTTCTTTTGACGTTTTTTGGATGGTAAGTTGTCCATTCGCGGGCTGTTTTGCAATGTGTCACGTTGTAGCTTTATTGACTGCTTCACTTGTAGGGGAAGCTTTTAATTTGCTGATCTTGTAACGAGATGATTAAATTCTTTTTGTCTCTATTAACTGGAAAATTGGCTGTGTTTCAATTTCGGGATAATTTAATTTTTCGTTCTTCTATTTATATTTTAATATCTATTTTATCCGCCCAAGCATGCTAAATTGTTTTTTCGTAAAAGCTAACCAGTATTAATTTCAGGGTGCTTTATTTATTTAAAAAAAAAGGTTTGGAGTATTCTCAGAATATATTTTTCTAAAAAAATTATTTTGAAAAACTTATTTCCGTAATACGTTTTACTTTTTTTTTTTAAATTTTAAAAATATTTTTACCATTTAAAAAAGTCGAATTGAATAAAAATAATAATTATAAAGCGTATTTCGAAAATACGTTTTTTAAAACCCTAAAAATCACTTTTATTTTTTTTATTTTCTTTTTCCAAAACGACAGAGTGCCTATCATTAAACTCAAAGGGGACAAAGTCCGAATACATAGGTCTGAATAAAATAGCGAACTCGCAGAAAAATAAAAATGAGAGATACACCCTAAGATGGATTAGAACCTCCACAAGAGGAAGACTACAGAAATAAGAAAAATAAGAAAAAGAATCAGTATCCTTCTACTGCTTAAAGCCTAGAAAGGAGTATTGATTCCAAATCAAAAAACAAAGAAAGCTGCAACTAAGTCTAAACAACTGAGAAAACAGAAGAAAACTGAATCCAATCTGAATGAGCCACACTGAGTAGCTTGACCTCAGGCATGAGAAAGTTTTGAAAAATCCACAGGTTCCTTGATTTTTAGAGCCACAAAAGAATATATGTAGTTAATTGAATCCTTGCTTCGACATTTTCGGAGTGATCAAGAGAACAAATTTGAAACCACCATACTTTAAAAGAACCACTGCAATCTTGTAGGCCATCCTATCTCACTGAGGAGAGATCCCAAGTCTTGCAGGCTCTAGGATAGGATAGGAGAATGTGTTCAATTGTTTTAGTGCATTCACCACAAATGGAACATATAGGATCAATATCTTCCCTCCTCTACCTAAGTAGAACTGCAGCAGGCAGAGTCCCAGTGATGCATTTCCAGATGAAATGTTTAATTTTCCTAGCCACCTTCAACTTCCAGTGCCTAAATTGGACTTCTTTGTTAATAATTTGATGATTGCTGCTCTCAGGGATGTCCAGTTGGGCTAATTTGAGCTTTGAGAGCAAGGTGTAAGTGATGGATACTGAAAAATGTCCTTTTTTTCTCTACGCCCCAATATATCCTGTCATCTTTGTTAGGATGAAGGGAGGAGATTTTTAGAATAGTTGTACTGTCCAGTGGGTCAAAAACTTGCCTTACCAACCAGTCATTCCAGGAATAGCCATCTGCTTGAAGAAGCTCATGAACCTAGATGAGGTGATCTCTGGCTATAGGGATTAAGGATGGACTTGGTTTAAGCAGTGTTGGTACCCAATTGATATCTCAGATCTTAGCGTTCTTTCCACTCCTAATTTATTTTCTAAGCCATTTGGAGAAAAATGCAGTACATCCAACCAGGAATTCCACATCCATGATCCCTTATGAGTCTTTGTTGCTTGAGTGATAGGGCTATTAGGGAAATATCTGTCCTTAAGTATTCTACTAACAAGCAAGTCAGGACTAGAGGCAAGTCTCCATAATTGTTTGCAGAGGAGTGCTTGGTTGAACACTTGTAAGTTCAGAAATCCCAGCCCAACCTCACCTTTGGGCAAAGAGAGAAAGCATCATTTTTTTCCAGTGGATACCTCCTGATTGATGATCACCTGAGCTCCACCAGAATTTGGAACAGAGTTTGGATATTTCTGAGCAGATGGATAGAGAAATTTTGAAGTAAGACATTGAGAATATAGGCAGGGCTTGAATCACTTTCTTTAGAAGGACCTCCTTCCCTGCAGGGCTAAGAAGTTTAGGCTTCCAACTTTGAAGCTTGCCTCTGACAGAGTTTACCAAATATTCAAACACTTCCTTCTTGGATTTTCCAATTCCAAGTGGCATACCTAAGTATCTTGTGGATCTGTGAGGTACAATGCCATTGAAGACAGTGAAAATTGATGATTGAAGGTGTGGTGGTGTGTTTCTACTGAAGAAAATAGCTGATTTTTGTAAGTTGACTGTTTGCCCAGTAAAAAGCCTGTACTTCTCAAGGATTGTTGTAACACCCCGACTTTCTATATACATCAGAGTACGCGATTTTCGCAAATTTTCTGAATAAATAAATAAACTTCTTATTTTGCGAAACTGATTCGGGGGCTACCGTGAAAAAATTAAAACTTGATTTTCTGAAAACCGTTAAAATTTAAACTGAAACATAAAAACTGTCATAATGTCTTATCCGACTAACGTCGGAGCAAAGTCTGATAAAAAGTTTTAGCGGAAGTCTAGCGTGGTAAAACATAAAGGTCTGATAATAAGTACTGAAAAGTTTTAGCGTGGTTCAACATTAAATACAGAAATCATAAATGCCCAGAACAGCTCGCCCGCTCACTCCTCGTCTCCGACCCTGCGACCTGAAAAACATGAAAGATGTGGGGCGTGAGCACTAAGGCACTGTGCTCCGCAGAAACTCATGCTAGTGTACAACATCGTAAATAATAACATGATCATGAACTAAGTATATACAACTGAACTGAAACTGATATCTGATAACTGATAACCGGTCTGATCTCGCGACATAAGTCACGTA